ATCATAACATGTATGTGTATACAGTTATTGAATAACGATAATGTATGTAAGTATGTAGGCTAAAGTTGGGTAAAACGAGGACTTGATGTCTGGCTAAAATGAAAAGTTTTAATAAAAAATAAATAACACTATACATTAACTGTACATACATTTTAGAACATTCAATGTATACTATTTCTTAACATCCCTATAAACAGAGAAATCTAAATGCCACATTTTGTGCCCAAAGGTTCCAAGTCTCATGCAGAGTCCCGGGATGGAGTCCTTGGAAATCGGCGTAAAGACAATCACGCGAGCAAGCAAGTTTTTTTTACAAGATTTTACTACTGTATTATCAATTGTCTCCAGGAAGTCCAGTACCAATGGTTTCACCATGCACGGCAAAATATATTAGCTCAGTTAAACAGAGATCTCATGGGCGTAGATTTTTTCAAACAGGGATCCCTTTGTGCCGATCTTTAATTATTGTTATTATAAGGATTTTATTAAACACCAAAGCTGCTAAAACCCCGGTCCCAGAAGTGGTGTTTATTTAGAGGGAGACAATCAATCAATCAATCAATCAATCAATCAATCAATCAATCAACCAATCAACCAATCAATCAATCAATCAATCAGTCAATCAACCAATCAATCAAATAACTAATTAATCAACTTAATCACTAATAAATCAAATATAAAACCATTCAATCAACAAATTAATCCACCAACCAATATATTGATTTATCAAAATGAATCAATCAAATTACTAATCAATCAACAAATCTATCAATCAGTAACTACTACATTAATTGATTACTCAATCAATCAGATTACCAGTCAATCAATAAATCAATCAAACAAGAACCAATATATTGATTAATTAATCAATCAATCAATCAATCAAATTAATAAACAATCAAATCAATCAATCAATAACTAATATATTGATTGATCAACTAATCTATCATTTAAACAACCAATCAATATGGATGTACCAATCAATAACCAGTTACTTAATTATTCAATTACACTGCAGCTGCTATACATTATACATATTTATACAGGCGCTCGTTATCATTTCGACGATATACTTAATTGCAATTAAAGTAGAATCAATTTTCTTATCTATCATCTTTTTGCTGACAGCTAAAAAATTATCACCAAATGCAGCAACTTTCCTTACAACCAAATTCGCTTTATCTCTGTTGATACGGAGATTGGTGATAATTTACCATAATGGTGACCTGATTGGTAAGCAAACGTGGAGTAGCATGGAAGACATAACAAATTAAGATACGCAGTTTATTAATTACAATATAAGCTAGGTCTATATATATATTACGGTACATTATTAGGGGGATGGGAACGAAACTGTCAAATATTTTAATTTTTAGACTGTTTGTGATCTAAGGCTGGGCTTCTGGGGATGATGTCTCGAAATTCTATTATCAATAGATCATATCCCGTTTTTCAGAGGCTAGAAGTTTCCTTCCATTGCTGCCTAGGCATAAGACTCCCGAGGCTTAAAAGGTAGTTGCCGGTGTTGTAAAATCCGGGTTGGAACTGTTGCTTCCTTGGTAGATTTTTCAACCCGGATGCAACACTTGATTTGACCTGGGATATTTGGTGTACTGTAAAATGTAAGTTTATACTATTTCATATCTCCACGAGCAAAGTTTATGTGTTGTGCCCGACAAATTATTTTCGCAGATTTTCAAAATTGCTCGTGTCGTGTCTTCAATATTTAGGTTGCACCTGATAACATTTAGACTTTGCAACTTACCGTCCCTATAAGCCAATTATGATTAGGGCAATTTACAATATATTTTCCTTAGTCACACAATGGCGATATAATGAAACTTATTTGTTGCGTGTGAAAATGATTCTTATGCGCAGTTTAACGCAATTATCATTCACCACACACATGTGTAAATACGTTTGTTTCCCATCGCTTCCGGGCTGGAGTCGTCAGATATATAAACAGTAGCAAGAGAAGAGCTAGCTGCGTTTTTTCTGAGGTTTAGCCTACGGCCACATCTCATCAAAAGTAGCACCGAGATCTACAAGTGGAAATGAATTTTCTTCTGTCGATATTCGTATGCGCTCCTGTCTTTGTGACATGCTTTTCTTTATGCCCACCAATCGTATGCGACACTTATATGTGCAAATTGATCGAACATTGTGATGGACGAATTGCACCGAAGGGTGGATACTGCGGCTGCTGTGATTCTTGCGTGAAACAGTTAGGTAGGAATTTATTCATTCTTTAGACATGTAATATAGATCATAGATTATGTCGAAATTGAACGATTTTTTAGCCTGTCATTTTGCGGTTGTTTTGTATTAAACTATGTCAGCAATGACCGAATTTTAGCAAAATTGCAAGGTATAGCTCACGGTTTTGTTTTGTGGCACAGACCACAAAAATACCATCCATATTTGCAAACCCACTTAAAACATAGGTTTAATTTTAAATATTGCTATATTCATGATCCCTGAATACTATAATAATTACGAATCATACACAATGACTACTTTCAATTGCTTCTTCGTAATGACCGTATGTCTTTATTTTTTCTCGCCAGAGGAAGGTGATTTGTGTCCCTCTCTTCCTCTGCTAGGAGCTCCAATCCAAAGCGAATGTGGTGAAGGATTGTATTGTGATAAGGAGACATCACTCTGTACCAAGTTTGGCGGAGGTATTATGACAAGCCTTTATAATAATATGCATATAACTCTCCATTGTACGTGCAGGTATACACAGTTATTAAGAATAATATAATTAACAATAATGATACGTATAATAGTAACGGTCATGATACTGATGATGATGAAGATGATGATAATGATGAAGATGATGATGATGATGATGATGAGGATAATTGTAATGACACTAATAATGATAACAAAATTATAATATAACAATACAATAATAATAACGATAATCATGTATATTTCGGTATCTTTTATTCACAAAAACAAAATATACAAGACAACGATATCAAATCAAGTAGCCAGTGGTTGAATTGGGGGTTTAATTTACAATATGTATTACATAAGATAAATAACATTCAAATACAAAAAAAAATCATATCATAAAATCATAATAGGACTAATACTAAAAATAATGTATCAATAATAACAATAATAACGAAATTATGTTTTTCAATTCAATTCAAATTTATTTCAGCATAATTCAACACATTCCATATGACAAAACAAAATTTAATAAAACATTTACAGCTAGCTCAGGATAACCCCAAAAAACCGAATCGGTTTATTTCCGTTGGGGTCCCTTAAATAAAAAATATTACATAAAAGTTAGTTAAAAACTAAACAAACATTAAAATTTGTTAAAAACTTTAAAATTACTAATGAAAGTAAAACTAATGAAAGAAAACCCATTAAACCTTAAAAGTATGTAAAAGTGAATGTAAAAACAGGTAAAAAACAAACGTTAAAATTTGTTAGAAGCCTTTAAAATTAATAATCATTAAGTAAAACTAATAAAAGCAATAAAAACTCTAGTTAAACCTTAAAAGTACGTCAAAGTAGTGCAAGTAAAAAAGCAGGTAAAAAGCGGTAGGTATAAAATTTCACAGAAAAGTATGTTCATGTATAAAGCATATTTATATGTTTAAAATGTGTACTGATTGTTTGTCATTTCAGATTTTGTTGCTAAATATAATTTCACTCTTTTTTGAATATATTTAAACTCGATGAAGACTTGATCATATAGGGTAATTTTTGTTGACTTACTCTTTACTTACCAGCTTGCAAAGAGGAGTATGATAGCAAGAAGCAAATCACCGACCCAATGCTAGGCATGGATTTACCTGAGTGCGAAGACGATGGATCGTACAAACCAAAACAATGTTCAGAATCCGTGTAAGTTGTCCTCATTCTCATCATCACCATCATCATCGTCGTCGTCGTCATCATCGTTATCATCATCATAGTCACAACCATCATTATCATCATCGCCATCATCATCATCGTCATCGTCATCATCATCATCATCATCATCATCATCACCATCATCATCATCATCATCATCATGATGTAGTAGTATTACTATTAGGGATATTTCGCAACCTTAAGCAAACTATAACGAATACGAATACGTCATTATCGTTATCGTCATTCGTGTCGAAAACATTTCTGACAACAGTTATGCTGTACAAGCTGCAAAAGGCACGAATCGTCCAGGGGCGGATCCAGAGATTTCCAAAAAAAAAAGGGGGGGGGGGGCGAGGGGGCGGAAATGGGGCTGATCGAGACAATACTACCCTAGGGGGTCTGAGCTCATGCTCTGCGAAACTCGTGTTTTCTAGACGCCCGAAAATAACATCCGAAGTGTTTTGGGCGATCGATTTTTTTTTTTCTTTCTTTCTTTTTTTTACTTTTCAAAAAAAAGGGGGGGGGGGGGCGCCGGGGCCGGCCGGCTCAGCTCCCACCCTCACTAAATCCTCCCCTGTCGTCTACTTTATGACAGATACGCTATTGTAGAAGAAGTGTTGTCTAAGAAATTGATGACGTAACCGTGTTTGTTATCGTTTTTGTAAGCTTGCGAAAACTCCCTATGAATATTAAAAGTAAATAACAATAATAGGCTTGGCATCTATTTAGAAAAATAAATAACGATTTTTAATATTCTAATTGTTATTGTCATTTTATTTGTCCGGCATCTATTTAGCGAATATCATAATAATTGCCAATACTTTTTCTTAGATGTTACTGTGTAAGTGCCGACGGCAAGCAAATCGGAGGTGCCACTTATCGATGGGAGGCCGATGATGTCAAGTGTGGTACGTGATTCAAAACATATTTGAAATATTATAGAGTCATTAGGCCAACGGAAATCATCTGCACACATGTTGCTTCAATACTGCTATTACAGGATTTTAACCAATGTGGGTTTTCTTTTTTATCTCGTCAGAATGTGCAAGAGAACGGTATGAGGTAACGATGGGCCCGCAGCGTCTGGGACAGTTCGTCCCACAGTGCGACGAATCCGGGGACTACAAGTCTATCCAATGCCACGGGTCTGTGTGCTACTGTGTGGATAGAAGCTATGGCAACAAGATCGAAGGATCAGAAAGGCACATATCTGAATTAGGCAACTTTGAATGCTAGATACTAAATATTTCACTGTGAGTGTTGGTAATAATAAATTCATTTATATCGTTCAAATGTTGAAATTATAGTAATATTAAGTTCTTAGCGTGTCCATGCACACACAAGCTATAATAGTGTGATGATTAATCTGGTTGCGTACTGGTACTGGTACAAATAGCCGTCTTTTCAAAGACATTTGGTAGACATTGACTTAAGGTTGTCATTAGAAGGATACTGCTTCTAGAACTAAATAAATTGATGCGAACCAACAGCAACATTGTCAGGGTGATAGGATAAGCTTTATCCAGTGCCGGCCGCTACGAGGACGCTCTTATTGTAGTTTAATGGGCATACTGCCATAATGATTTAACAAGAAAAATTGCTCTGTATAAACGTATCAGTTTGTATTTTAATTTTGATGATGCTTTGAGAATAACAGTTTATTTTTATTAAATGAAAATTATATTAGAAATTCTATTGTCATAATTTGTCTTATATTCTACATTTTGGAAGTTGCACACTATGTAATATCCGGTTGGATATTGATTTAAATATTTAACATTATTTCCATATCCTGTATTAGGCCTATATAAATAGATAGATGTATTGGAAGTTTGGAATTAACAACAACCAACCGACAA